TTTTTTTTCTAACCGTTTCTAGAATTTCATCAGCTTTTGAATACCGAATATTTCAAGAAGGAACCATTGGTTTGGATTGAAACTTTGAGAATATTCTCAAAACATCGTGATCTATCTACTTATACATGAAACTTTATGCCAAAAATCTTTTGTTCAGTTTTCTTGTGAATTTACTGTCCGACGATAAAAAATTCAGCAGAAAATCTTCTAAGTAGAGCTCGTTGGATCTAAAATTTTGTGATCTGGAATGAATCGTACTCCTAATTTCAAACGAAACTATTAGATCGTAATCTAATATTAGTACCGAAGATACGAGATATTTTTTTATCAACCTTACTTACAGCTCTCTAAATCACACATAGACAGATAAGTTTTAAAGTATTTCATCGTATTGTATATCATAATCTTCTTCAGCTTGTGTTGAGTGCTTTCTCTCACTTACTTGTCCATATTGAAAAGCTTCAATCAAATCTACAAATGTCTTTCTTGTTATTGGACCTTCGATACCTATAAAACAAAATGAATCATCAATTCGTTTGATCTAAGTAATTAATAAAAAAAAAGAAGCAAATAATCACTTACGTGGTCCTTGATAACTAGCTTGAACAGAAATACTAGCAGGATTTGTTAGTCTTAAAAGTTCTTTTTCTTCTACATGAAAAACAAAATCAAATATATCTATTATCTATTCTATTTTTAAAATAATACATTACCTACAGGTAATCCTGCTTGTTGAAGTAATTTTGCAACAGATGGTGAAAGTAAATCAGATGATTTAAGTAGTTTTTCAAACATATCTTTAAGCTAAAATGTATAAAAATTAATTTTAAATTCTAATGTTATTACAAAAAATAAATATATATATATATTGTTGTTTACTTTGGCTTCAGTTTGTTCACTAGAATATTCAAGTTTTTCATGTATTTGCCATGCTACTTGATTTTTTAATTTAAGTTGAGCTTGATGATGACGAAATGCAGCTTGAATTTTTGATGCAGACTCATTAGCTAAAATATAATGTTACTTGGCTTGTCCACGTAACGTAACACTTCGGTGATCAAGTTTCGAAAAAATATTTTTTTGGAGCTCAACAGATTTGAATAGATTACTAGATACAGTTTTCAACGCTGAACACGAATTTGACATTTATTTTCTGAAAAAAGTTAGGTTTTTGCATCGCAAAATAGGTTTTAAACGCTTTAAAAATCGTATTTTAAATTTTCTTGTAAAAAATTTTTTGCAAAAAAGCCGAGAGACATACCATTTGATGCAGAGTTTAATTCTCTACAAGATGGCATATTTAGTTTTGACTTTCGTGGCTTTGAACAATTCGTAGGCTCTTACAAAGTTTTCAACATACTGCGCCTCTTGTGAGCTTCCATCTCGATGTATCGACCTCGCTCTTACGTAGAACGATTAGTTATATAGAAGAGACTAACACTTAGAAAAATCAAATCATTCTAACCATGTTAAGTGCCTCAGAATTAGTCGAGAGAAAACTTTTTTAGCATTTGAAAGCCCGTTCAAAGCTCTACAAAACTGACTCTAGAAATGTTTCATTTGAAGAAATACTTTCACAAGAAATTTCAGTTTTTTCTGAAACACTGGAGAAAAAGGGTGTTTTTATGTAACAGCGTTATGCGATGATAAATTCTTTCTATACACCTAAAACTTCAGCCGAAAAAGGTGATTTTTATATGATTGATAGAGTTCGATAAGCTGTGTCGAATAGAGCTTGAACGAACTTTCTCGTTCTTAAAATTTCCGAGATAATTAAAGAGAAGTGTGTCAAAAACGTAACAGTGTTACGTTTGGACAAGCCGTGCTGTTCTTTCTGTTAATTATAACTAACATATGATGCAAAAGTAATGGGACCAATGTCGGATCTTATTTCTCTTCGATGATAGGATACCAGAAGAAAAAATAGATACTTTTGTTCTCTTTCGAATCGTATATAACTTATTTTTGTAACACGTTCCTAAAAGAAATGACAGGATAGAAGAGAGAAACACTCTTAGAAAGAATCCACACTTTTTGTGAGATTCAGAAAAATGGTACAAAATGTTGATTGCTAAATCTCTTCGATATATAGATCATGAAAAGAATATATTTTTTATCAGTTGCTAGAAAATTTTCTCCTCAATTGAACACTGTATGATTTATACATGTCAGACACTTGTAAATGAAATATGAGACATGAAAAAAAGAGAAACACTCGCATAAAATATTTGTATTTTTAGATGAACTCAGCAAAAAAAAAAAGATTTTGTGAAACAACAGTCAACAATAATTGATTGTCATCTACAATATGTATTTGATGAATTCACACACAAACTACAAAATTATTACAGAGTATTTCAATTTTTTGTTGTCGTATTTCATTTACGAATGTCTGACAAATATAAGCCATACACTGTTTGATAGATGTGCGAATTTTCATTCAACTAATAAAAAAATCTTTTCATGGCCTATTTATCAACGAGACGTAAGGATTGACATTTGTCCCATTATCTTTGCATCACAAATCATTTTCGACGTTGATGTTCTGTAATTCGTCATAAAATATTTACAATCGTAGCTTCTTATACTGAAGAAAAACAAAAGAGTCCAAGTAATAAAAATTCCTACCTGACAATGGTGGTAATTTAGTTAGCATTGTTAATATATCTGATTGATCAGACAGTGATGCTAATTCGAGTAGAATCTGAACGAAAAAAAAGAATTAAAAATTAGTTCTAAAAAGACTATCTTTTCAAAGAAAAAATTAAACGACTTCTAAACACACTATAATAGTTTTTGTGCTTTAGTCTTCCAATAATGATTATTTAGAACATAAAATGTCACTTGAATAAAAACAAATTTCTTTATTGTAATGTCACATGGTCCAATAGAAATAATAAAGCATCATTTCATAATAAAATATTAATTAACTTTAGTAAATGACATAAAGACCGAATATGCCTACAGACGTTTAGAAGTCATCGCATAAAAGAGATGACTGCAATGGAGACCATCTAGTCTATTGATGTTACTGAATTCAATGAAACTTTATTTGGGATATTAGTAAAATACGCTTTCACCCACTCTGACCGCAGCTTAATTCGAAAATAGTATCAATTGATAGAACATAAAATTCTCTATTCATGAGACCCCACTCCGACCCATTTCCTTCGGAAAATCTCTCTTGTTAAGATCTGTGTGAGAGTGAACTCATAAAAATGATATTTGATTCCTTTGTCTAAGATTTTTCGAAAAAAATGGGTTGGAGTGGGGTCTCATGAAAGGAGAATTTTATGCTCTATCGATTGATACTATTTTCGAATTAAACGGCGATCAGAGTGGGTGAGAACGTATTTTACTAATACCCTTGGTATTTCTAATGTTGGCTTCTTCTCTATCCGGTTTCTAGACACTTCAACCTGTTTTTACCATCGATTTGAACACCGTAGATGGTCCTTCCACTATTGCAAAATTAAGTACACACAAAATCTCTATGTTTGCAGATAGCCTTGACATAAAATAGAGATTTTCATCAAAAACTTATTTCTGAGATGGTCCTACTGACCAAAAGGAAGGGCATACATGCCTTAAGTTTTCAATAAATATGTAACTCTATGAACACAAGCGCCAATAAAAATTTTGTCCCTCTATCTTGAGGGTGTGGATGTCTATTAAGAGAAGATCTACACCAACATATACAACTACATCCACGTTTAGAACGGATATGTTTTAGATATTTATCTGCTAAGCCTCGACGAAGATTTAACGTATTTCCACTATTTTTATACTCACCTTTGTATATTTAGGCTCACAAAACACACTGTTGTTGTCAAATAAAAAACTGCAATCGAATCACTGCTTTTTAGCATACAAGGACAACCCTCTTTCTTTCTCTTTTCTCGTCCAATCTTCACCAGGTGAATCAATAAAAAAGACTCAAAAAAAAAAACTACGCTACTGTTGTCTGTATAAGCCAAAAGAATCTGATTGGTTGCTTCATTATGAAGTCATACAGAAGAATCAAGGCCGCTTATGTAAAATCAATTGGGTTTTTCTCCAGCGAATAGTCTTATGGTACATCTATGGCTTTTTTAAGTGAATTTTTAAATAAACTAATCGACGAAGCTTTCCTACTGCGAGTAAAATTCATTTATTGGATTTTTTTTGTGAGTAAGATACAAGAAGATGTCTCATTGAATACTCTTCGAAAATTATTGTACATAAATCCTAGAATGATTTTATGGTTGTAGAGATGCTCTTCTAGTACCAGTGATGCTGTTTGCTCTATCGTGAGAAAAATTTTTCTTGTTCAGGAATTTTACTCTTTAAAGGTTTTGCGTAAATACTGTTGTGTAGCTCATCATTAGTAAGGTGATATTTTGTTTTTACAACTCGTGAAAGGAGACTATTCTATTATACTAGAATATGAGTGAAGCTCATCTATTACAGTTCAGGCCTCATACTCTTTTAAGAAGGAATGTCAAAGAGCTTTGCATCGTAAAACCCACTGAATACATCTTTCACTTTCAATATTCTTAGCACTAGCTCATCTTATAGCTCCAAATAAATTGATTCATATTTTTTTTCCAAAAATCCTACTTCGTTCAATCCTTGAAAGTAATATTCTTTCTTGCTTAAAGTTTGAATTTTCTTTCATTTTAACTATGCTCTGATCACCTTCATAAAATTGACTGACTCAAACTAATTTCGATAGCCTATTGCAAACGTTAACCCTTTTTTAATGTAAATGCTCATATTCAGTTAACAACCAGATTAACAGCATTTCAGAGAATTAAACGAAAATATGACCGTCAAAATAACTGTGTCATAAAGAAAAACGGTAACTTTTGATTATTAAATAATTCAATTTCTATTTTCTTCTAATTCTGCCACAGAAATAAACAAGAACTAGGACAATTTTATTTCTTTTCATGAAACTTGCTGCATCATAAAGTACTTTTTTTCACTCATTGGAGTAGCAGCTTCGAATATGTATTTTTGAAAAGCTTCCCAGTTGTGAATTACTGATCGAAGCGAGAATACGTTTCGTGCGTTGTTTACAATTATTGCTTCGTAATGCACAGTCTATTGAGAAAGAAACAATAACAATTCACGAACGAAAAACTTTTATGACAGTCGATGCTGATTATGGGTCTTCTATGAAAAAAAACACTGCATGGTAGTTTAACCACTCATTAAATAAGTTACTAAGATCTGAGATAGAAGTGAGTTCGCAGTAGCTTCAAATAGCTAGGTATTGATCAATGCCACAGAGTATAGGTGTAGGAAATGGGTGTGCAATTACACAGTCTCAATTCACTTCATCAATTTTAGTGATGCTTTTTCAATATGTTACCTCAAGTGAGATATCAAAATGCCAAATTTTTATCTTCTAAAATCGATTTCCCTGCTGAGATTTAAAAATCACAATAGAGGCACCCGTACGTAAAAAACGACGATTACTAATGTAGTATCGATTTATATTGACACTTCTTCATTTTTTAGCAACATTGTTTTAGTTATGAGGTTTTATAAGTGTATACTAAAGTGGACATCCTAGATATTGACGCATTCAGAACTACTTTTCAGCGTGTAAAGCAGTATGTACGTATTTTATACGTCCTAGATATACTCTCTACCTTATGAGTAGAATTTCTCTCGCTTGTAAACGACAAACGAGCTTCTACTTTGGAATTAAGTAGTACTGACCCATAACTGTTCACAAAAACTTTCAAAATGTTGGGCTTTTGCTTTTGACCTGAACAAAAAGCTATTGAGTTGAAGTCATTAAATTTTGTTCAATTCAAGATATGTTGCGGCAGAAAGAGGTTCACATATGATGTCTTCTGAGAGTATCCTCGGGAACTCGATTATGTCCTATGGATAAGAGGTAGATAGATATATAGGTATAGGAGGTATAAGGGGTATAGCAGATATACTACCAACAACAATATGACTACAACTCGTATTTTTGATGTAACTTTTGAAAGAAGAAGATTGAGAGATGCGGTTTTCGCCACTGGAAAGAGGAAATTAAGACGCATCGAATCATACGTTATAGTCTTTCGACTTGGTTTTTCTCAAGTATTCAATTTAACGTTTTCTGGAACAACGTTTTTCATAGCAGAATACAAGCAGTTCTTCACTATTTAATATTTATGCAAAGCAACAGTTGAAGATTCATAAAACTGTGCAACACTATGAATCTTGGTTTCAATTGTTTAGAAGCTATGGGTATTGTACGTGAAACTAGAAGCCGCTCTATTTCTAACAGTTCTTGTGAAAAATAGAGCTTTTTTCTCTTGAGAGTGTGGGTAATTTATTCATACTAACATCCATATCCACACCATCCAATCCGAATTTTCCACTCTCAGGTTTCAACCTGAAAGCGCTCTAAACAATCATGATTCTCTAAACCTTACGCAAACATATCATTGCATCAGGTGAGAATGATGTAAAAAGGAGTTTCATCGATAGTCAGTAACACAAATCCACACTCAGAGACAAGCGCCGCCGGTGTGGGTGCGGCCAAACGAGTTTCACCGAACTGCACTTACATAAAAACATACCCACACACATATCACGCAGATGAGGATGCCGTGAAAGGAGTTTCACCAAATAGGACTTACATAAAAAAATACTCACACACAAACGCTGCAGGTAAGGGTGCGACGGAAGGGGTTTCACCAAATAGGACTTACATTAAAAAAATACTCTCACACAAAGGCCGCAGGGTGTGGGTGTAGTGTGTGAGTGTGGGTGTGGATGTGGGTGTATGTGGGTGTGAGTGTAGGTGTGGGGTGTGAGGATGCCGGTCTGGGTGTGGGTTTGAATCACCTCTTTACCCACACCCACCCACAGTCACAGCCACCCACACCCACACCCACAGCCACACCCACACACCCACACTCACACCTCACACCCACACCCGCACCCACACTCACACCCACACCCACACCCACACACCCACAC